TATATATGTAAATTATCAAAGGCAAATTAAAGCTCATTACTGTATTGTGCAGAGATACAGTTATTGTAACTAAACTAAAGACTGCCTTGTCTTAAAGGACGTTATGAAGCAATGTATTTCATTACAAAACACCAACTCTCATAATGTACCAAATGCCATTTCAGACCCCCGGACTTTTACAAAGGAGTCATCCACATCCCCAATCTCACTTTTAACTTCTCTGCAAAGTTGAGAGGTCTGGTTTAGGCAGGGTTTAAAAGTATGGTCTATAATGGCAGACAACCACCACAACAATCAAACAAGAATATGTAAGAAGTAATTTTGAAAAACACAGCCAATTACTTCCTTCAACTCAATTCAGCCAGACCACAGCAGCGAGCAACACACAGATGAAAGACCTTCATCATTGGTTTTGTGGCTACTATCAAATCAACCTTGTTACCAGGCTCTTCCCTCACATTAATGCCTGGGTCTCAGTTTGTGTATTTAGCGAAAATAGACAAAAAGTCATAAAAAAAGTATTGCCTTGATTATTACCATTCAAGTTTTATTTGATTTGTCAAAGGAGATTCTAAAAGTTGGCCTACTTTTCATTGTCATGGCAACATTGTAATAATCATTCACACATAATATCACTGTTTATTGAATGAATCTGGAAAGTTTACATTTAGGCTTCGTTCCATTATTTTATGCGGCTATATTACGATGATCGGCATCAAATGAATGTTAATCGCATCATTAAATGTTATCTACAAATTAATGTACGATTTCCGAATTAACACAGGAAACTTTGTTCCCTTATTTGTTAATGTTTTGAATATTTGCTAATAAAAATAGCAAAATTTCATCAAATTACCCCTGCTGCAAGTCGAACACGTTTTTCATGTGATTAATTTCACGCGCCATAATGAAACAGGCTGACGCTTATTGTAAGGGATATTATACTTCCAATAACAGCATTCATTGGGCAATCAAGCCGATATCTTGAAGCATAGTTAATGCTTGAAGGAAAGTATGCCTGGTGGAAAAGACCGAGTGAACTATACATGCTATAATTACTTTGTAATTCACAAGCAATTTTTTATTGAAAATAAGAAACAATCAACAATTAATACTGAATAATCGCAACATAGCGCACTATAACAAGCTTTTATTTATCAGCAGTTTAAGAGAGGGCTGTCTGTAAATATCGCCTATGTCGTGCAGAACGTGAAAAATCAAGATTGCTCAAACTTTGTCAAAATGTAAGTTAGTTGGACCTGATAATATAAAAATGTGTTTAACTTTGATTCAAAAAATATTTTTAACCGAGAAGTTGATATTGGTGTTCGCACGGCTGACGGGCCTATTTTTAGGGCGATACAAACTACTTCAGATTGAGCTTGTTTACGCTGATAAATCAAAAGTACTGCACATTTAAACTTATTTTTCATAAAATACATACACTAACGTACAAGTAGCAGCTCTCCAAGTCGAATTTGATCTAGATTTGAATATTTTATCGATTTTTTAACTTGTCGCTTGTTTTACGCAACTATAGACTATGTCCGATTAAAATCCATATATATCGCCACTGATACCTCGAGTTAGAACATGAACATTATACCAACATTTTCAGCAAGGACTGATCTTTCGATAAGTGAAATAACATTTTTGGGCCATACAAAATTTCAAAAGTTTGAGCGAGTAATGGAAGGGTCAAATTGCCCCAAAACGGCTGTTTACGCAAAGCGGCAAAATGAATGAATTGCCTTGAAAAATAGCCGATTATAATTTAAATATAGTCTTGTTAGCTAAATAAATAGCAAAGCAATGTGAAATACTGTACATTAACTGAAGTTCATGTTGTTCCTCAGCTTTTAAAGCGTTAATCGTAATATTATTTGAAGTCAAGCGGCTGCAGTACGCTAATGAGTATTAAATGACTTGTGTAATAATGTCTACCTTTCTATGGCGAAATCTTCTTTGAGCGCTCTCCGTGGAACCCAATGAACTTTGAAAATGTTCTTATGACTTACAGTCGATTTTACATAACTTTTGTCAAATGTTCCAAACTTCTTTCTGATCACGAAGCTCATAAATTCGACTTATATAATTCGTTGCGAAGTTCAAAAGTTCGTAATAACATTCACAAGCCAGTTTGTAAACAAAGCCTCTGATTGGCTTCTTTTAATGTTGTAGATTTATCTAGTTATCTATTATGTTATCCAATAATTAATAAATACAAGGTCAATAAGAGGAATTTTCAAGAAAGTGGAGTTAATATTCTGTAAAAAAATATGCGAGATACTGTACAATATATTAGCTAATGTACGAGTCAAATCCAATCGCGATCAGGCCCCCTCCCCGGGAATTTGACTTTTGAAAAAGTAATTGGCCAAATGTCCGCCCGAACAGGCAGAAACCACAGTCAAATGCCCTGCTATAGGGGTAGTCCTGTTTCTGGAATTTTTACTAAAATTAAATTTAACAAGTATTTCAAGATTAAAAAGAATGAAAAATAGGCCAGACAGTTCTTTCTGTTCAACTGGGCATATTGTATCATATATCTATTATTGATATTTGTGATTCAGAAGCTATTTTCAAACTATCGAAAAGACGCAAAATAGAAAACACGTAAAGCGCTAGAATGTACACATATTTTTAGGGAAAACTGCTGAGCAAGTTGTTGTCAAGTGGTCAAATGCCCGGCCGGGCTGTCAAAATCCCGCCTATACGAGAGTAATGTTAAGTCAAATGCCCTGGGGTTGCCCGCTAATCATAATAATATTCGAGGTCAAGTAACTACAGTACCCCCAGTGATTTGTTTCTATGGGAAATCTTCTTTGAGCGTTTTCTGTGTATTCGAATGAACTTTGAAATGTTCTTATGACTTAATCAAAGTTTCCACAGCATCATTTTTACATACTGTGCCAAATGTAAAAAGCTTTCCTCTTTCTCTGCTTAGGCCAATGAAAATTGATATCATGTTTCTCGTCCCCGCCTGCATGGATTTATCTGCTGCACGGAAATTTTTCATTATTCATTATTTTTGAAAAATAGGCTTCACAAAACACCAAATTGATCTCCAGATCAAAGTCTTATTGCTGCATTCTGCAAGCACAACTCAAATTGTATCTTTCTAAAGATATTACCCGCCAGAATGCCTCTATTTTTCATGAGTCAGCCCTGGTATGTATAGAAATATACTGTAGTGTAGGACGTATTAAATTAAAATGAATTATACACCGATTTACTTAAGATTTTTATGAGGTTTTTTACTGGTTCAAGGAAATTATTGACAAGCAATTCAAATACAAAAAATAATGAAAAATGAAAAAATCCCGCTCCAAATTTCTGAAAATTGTGGACGAGAAACATGATATCAATTTTCATTGGCCTTAGTTAAACACTGGTTCACACGACTTATCGCAAGTCCACAAGACAGGGAACCCATAGTTATGTCGGCAATCTTTCCTCAGTAAGTTAAGTTATGTTAATAAGGCCAGAAGGCGATTTTTTTTGCCGAGTTTCGTTATTTAAGGGTTAGACTTGAGACTGCTGTGAGTGTTGCACCTACACCAAAAAAGGTGTACCGGTGTCCCAGGATTTTCGCCCCCCCTACATTTTCGCCCCCCCCCCGGGGGCGAAATTCCTAGGAATATCGCCCCCCAGGGGGGGGGGGCGAAAATCCTAGGAATTTTCCCCCCCTTTAGGAAATTCGCCCCCCTTTAGAAACTTCACCTTTTCTTTAGGATTTTTGTTCAAAATTTTGCCCTTAACAGTTGCATGGGATAATTATTACGTGGCTTCATTTGAAATCAGTATCAATTCAAAATTGTTAGGACAGAGCTTGAAATAACAACCGATCACCGATCAATGATCGGCAAGGAATTGCTTATGAGCGGCGGAAAAACATGGTTTTGTTTTCCAACCTGAAAAAAGCAGGGAAAGTCATAACTGCCGATCACTATGATCGGGAACTTTGGGAATATTATTTCAAGTCCTGTAAGAATACAATAAAATTCACAATAAAAATGTATTCGACAAAAATAAATTCACAATAAAAATGTATTCGATTGAACTTTATTAAACAAAAGAATGACAGCTTCGCAAATTTACAACAACACTAAAATCTTTCTCCGTGACTAACTAATTTATTCGGTTAATGAGACGCACCAAGGAGTTCTGGCCGACAGGCAACATTCCTTAAAAAGAGGCGACAGACTCTCTAAAAGAGAGCGACAAACAACAGCTTCTGACTGGACAAAAGCGGCAAATTGCGATTTATGTTATGGGTTAAAAGTGACAGCGACATTTATTACAATAATCAAGCGACCAAGCAGCTACAAAATGAGTGACAAGCGACCTGGGTTACACCCTTGGTGGGTCTCGTTAATGAGCCTTTATTAACGTCAACAATGTAATTCAGCACAGCTGACGATATGCCAAAGTATACCAAATAAAAATAAGTCTGCATCATGTTATATTTTATTTCACATTAATTTGCTGAGTAGTAACTCTAATTTCTTGAAAATTCCTCTTATTCACCGTATGTTTATTTATTATTAGAAACATATTAATAGATAACAAGATAAATCTACATCAATTAAAAGAAGCCAATCAGAGGTTTTGTTTACAAACTGGCTTGTGAATTTTATTACGGACATTTGAACTTCGCAACGAATTAAGTCGAATTTATGAGCTTCGTGATCAGAAATAAGTTCGGAACATTTGACAAAAGTTATGTACAATCGACTGTAAGTCATAAGAACATTTTCAAAGTTCATTCGTATAAATTCCGTTCCATAACATATAAATACGTCAGTGTTCTTTGCCGTATAAATATGTCATAAATTTCCATAACGTATAAATATATAATTTCCATGTATAATTTTCGTAATTCAAAATTCCATATTTCATGAATTTGTGGATATACTTCATGTAATTTTGGCATCTCGACAACAATGATTACATCATCTGATTCCTGATCAGTTCCTGATTCCTGCCAAAATTGCCATATGGATGATATTAATTCAACTTACAGTGTCAGTGGGTCTGGTAGTGGGTCTACTAGGGACTGTCCACACTCGAATACATCCATAGGCTTGAATACATCCATAGAAGAATTAGTAAACGGTGTGTCAAGCCATCCAAATTTCAGAAACGCTGTCGACAGCATTAACTCTGGTCAAACCACTAATAACCGAACCATACAAAGCGATTCTGTAAATACGGTCTCCTCAGGATCGACAGGACCCGCTCAAGAACTCAGGAACTTGTTTCAATGGGGAACTTCTATGAGACAGCAACAAAATTTGAATGCAACAATTCCTAAATTCAATAGCAGGTTTACCTACCAGTCGAGCGGACGAAGCAGATCTTTACCTTATAATCGAAGTAATCAAAATTCTAAATCAAAAGGAAAACCAAAGAGTTCGGCGACAAATAGCCAGCCATTCTGCAGAGAAGTAGTATTATTGAATACCCCAAATGACTGCAAGGTTGTCAGAGGATCAAAAAAAGTAAATCTTCACAAGACAGGGAACGTTAAAAGTGCATTCAAGTTTGAAAAACATTGGTCATCTTCCAAAGTATACGACGAGCTGGTGAAAGAGTTCCATCAACTGGAGAGTGTCACAAGAAACCCAAAGTAAGTGACGTACTTTGAACGAACATATGAACTGTGCACAATTCGGTTGCTTTTCAAATTTTTTTTAATTTTATGGCCATATTCATGAATTGAGTGCCACATTTATCCATTTATAAAAGGAGTAAAAATGGTATGTAGCACAACAGTTATTTGCAACTTATTTATTTGGAATCAAGGCTTGTGTTTATTCCGGTTGTGCCGCCCCCCCGGATCAACACCCCCTCCCCCCGGACCAACACCCCCCTTCAATACCAGCCCTCGCCCCCTGGACCAACCCCCGACATTAGACATTGTTGGGGAAAAAGTTACTATTTACCCACAGTTGGCTGTTTTAGGCACATAAATATAGTTAACAATCATACCAAAACAACTAAATTTGTATAACAAAATTAAAATTCATGTTGGAACGTGTGAAGTACATGTTCATTTTACATCGGCCACAACATTCCATAAAATTAAAGACATAGATTTCTATTGCTGTTACAGTAAAAGTAATTTGTGACGATTTTTGTGGTTCCAGCAGAACCCATGTTCGTAAAACAAAACAAGACGCGTGCTCAGGCATTCACACTGACCTGAAAATGACGATATACGTGCTATGGTGCAATAGACAAGAATATAAATCGTGAACCGCAAACGCAAAGCGTGAAAGGCTAAAAGCGTGCTGTGATCCTCAGGAGATGTTTTCGTAATGCCCAATGACAGGGGCGGATCCAGCTTGAAAAGTGACCGTGGCTCTATAGCAGTGGCGTCAGCCCCTCCACGCCATTTCCACGCCATATAGTACGTCAGTTTCAGGCCCTTTATATGCCATAACTGCACGGTCAATTGCCGCCACGCCATATAGTATGTCAGTTTCAGTCCCCTTATATGCCATCACCGCATGCGGTCAACTGCCACGCCATATAGTACGTCAGTTTCAGTGTCTTATATGCCATCACCGCGCGGTCTATCGAATCAGCGCATGTCAAGTGGCGTTGGCATTGGCTTCACGTTTCTCCCGCATGTTATCATTCCAGATAAAAGACATGGAGTTCACTGGGCCACCCTTATATAGGAATTATGTCAACAACTCTTCAATCTGACCCAGGTCCCCCAATAACACTCATTGCCATCTGTTAGTATTAACTCATTAACTGGCAATGTGCCCGGATGCGCCCTGAGATTGGCAAGTGGGTAACTGGCAATGTGCCCGCATACGCCCTCAAATGACACCTCAACTTGCGGGCATATTTGAGCACGTGATTATCGGGTTGCCTAGCAACGGATACGAAAATAGAACGCGAAATTCGAGCTTTTCAACGGTGTATCATGCAAGAAAATCGGCCAAAAAACTCGCAAAGTTTTTCAAGTTTAAAACCTAAGTTTTTCAAAAATAATGAATAATGGCGATATTGTTGCAAAGAAGGATTTCACAGCAAGTTTTAAAAGAGGAAAAAGAAGACGTTTTTGAATGAATTTTGATTTGGGCCAAGTTCTTCTGTGAACCATGCGCGAGATTTTCAGCCAAAAAGATGAGGATTTCTCCAAACTTTATTAAAAATAGAAGTCGGAAATCACAAGAAAGATGAACACGGAACTCAAGTGAGCAGATACGATTTTTTAAAGGGTATTTTTGAGTAGAAATATGCGATCAAACACTCACAAAATTCGACCGCATTAATGTTGGTTCAATCTAGTTTAAAGTTATCTTTTTAGACGAACTGTTTATGCAAATTTGGGCGCAACTTTGACTGTTTTCGTGACCCCATTGTTGGTCTTCTTGTTCAAGTTCTTATTTTAGCTAAAGTATATTTCAAACGACACTTACTGTGTGCGTACGTGATCTTTTTTACCTTTTTGGCAAGAATACTTCGAGTATTAAATTACAATAAATAAGTAGGATATTCCAAAATCACTGTTATATCTATTTTCATCAATTTAGTGTCAAAATGACAACTCGTTTCAGACATATTGTGGTTTAAAATAAGTGTATTGAATGCACGCGCTTGCTTGCCGCGTGCGAATATTCAAAAAGTCCGCACTTGAGTTGTAAAGCTTACAAAATGCATTTTTACTGTTTTTTATATCCCCTATAAAACTTTAAATCGATAAAGCAGATAATAATGTTGATGCAACATCATTTTCTAGTAACTACACGTTGAATCAGAAGGAAAAGTTATCAAAATAAGTCGCGACGGTTGTTTGCAAAATGTTGCTTCTCTCTGAAATGGCTTCCTTTGCGGGAAGCCATGAAATTGAAGTCCTAACAAAAACTAAATTTAGCAGTTCTTTTGGGCCCATTGCAAACTTATTTATCATGAAATCGCTTCACTAGAACATTTTTAATAATGTCTATGGGAAACTTTGTAATTTTCTGAACTAAAAGTTTATGGTTTTGAGATGTTTATTTTATAAAATAGCACACACGACAAAATGGCACTAATGTGGTTTCTCACGTCTGACAAACAACCAAAGATGAAAGTTCTTATTTCACCCTTTTATAGCTATGTGGAATACCTGAATATTAGGTTATCTTTTTCATGTGAGCATATAGATAACATTTCTACACAATAGTCCTTATGAAAGCTTATTTCAAACTCAAAAAAAAGAGATTGTTTTTTAGAGCCAGACTTCAAAAGAAACCGCCTGTCTGACATTTTATAGCAGCCTACATTGGCGCACAAAATAATTTTGGCTTTTAAACCATTGCTTTCCCAATAGAAGCATGAAAATATTGAGCTAAAAGTCTTACCTGACATGTGCTTAAAGTGTTTTTCTGTTTATGATACTTTTCAGTGCTTTGAGTACAGAAGTGAATAGCTTTTAGTTTTGTCACCGCAGAGTGCCTTTCAAAATGTCGGCTGTGATTGTCTGTGTTAAAAACACCTCAGAAAATTCTCATTTTCTCACCTTCCCAACCTTGGTTTATATTAAAATAAATAAATTTAAGCACCATGTGTCTTCTTAAATATATTTGAAGCAATAAAAAAACTTTAAAGATGTACAATCACTGTGTTTTGGCTTGCACACTTTGTTGAACTTGAACACTTAGTTACTGTTCTAAATTTCATGTTGTAAACAAGATGCCCCAAAAAAGCAAAGAAGTAATTTTTAAATTTTTTGATAATTTCATAATTCATATCCCAAAAGATGAAAATTGGTTGTAATATAGATATGTATTAATTTAGTAATTTTTTTTTTTGGTTTTTATATAAATTTATGGAGATATTGCCCCTTTAGGTGATGAGTGACATGAAAAACAAAATGTCACTGCTTTATAAATAAAAATACTGACTGAAAAAACTAATGATATATATAGGTATGCAAGCTCATCTAAACTAAATTTGGTCAATCATATATCATTCATGTTTGGTTGAAAAGATCAGACTTTTTTATGCAATTGTTTCTGAGATATTGCCATTTTGGTGAAAGCTTGGAATTCAATCATGCATTCGCCATATTGCTTGCCACTTTAGGGGGTGGTAACATTGTAATAGCTTGCCAGTTAATGAGTTAACTACTGTATCTTTATTGCATAAATCCAATTTGACGTTAATTTACACATTACAACTAAATAGTGAGCTTAATTAAGCAACCAAAATTTTTGTCAACATGGACGTCACACGATAACTTGTCTAACTGATATGATGCAGTATCATACTACTTCTGCTTTTTACCAGTTTTATAATCAAACTAATTTTTAATTCAGGAATAAAACTCATGCTTTGCTAACTGTTGTTGTCAATGATGTGATTGTCATTAAAATTAATCGATTGTCAAAACAAAACTCAATTAATCGAGTCCAGCTCTATATAATATTCCCATCCAGTGTCCTGCCACCCCCACCTCCCCCCCTCTTCTGCAGAATTAACATCGATGGCCCTTAAACTCTAGGTTTCAAATATTAATGGGTGTTGGAAACGATCTTGTTGTGCCTCAATTAACATCTGGTCAAGAATTAACTGGAGAATATATTAGCAAGATATTTACTCAGAAGACAGTTTGGTTAGTTCCATCAGAAAAGCTTAAATGCAACATTTCTTGCACAAAACAGGTACAGTAACTTAAATAATACTTTAAGGATAATGTACAATCAAATACAATAATACAATACAATAACAGGATGAAACAAAGTACATACAGGATCAAACTACCTGAAAAATATAACAACAATGTTAAGATTATACTAAAACTGTCTGCCAGTGTGGGTAGTACCAATGTGAAATTGCTGTGCTGAGTGGTTATATTACTACCTGAAAAAAAACAAGCAGAACTCAATGTTTTGAGCAAGGGCCCTTCGTCAAGAGTTGGTAGGGCCTTCGCTCGAAACATAGAGTTTCTGCTTGTTTTTTTCATGTAGTAATATAACCACTCAGCACAGCAATGTTAAAGTTAACCCCTGACAATTTTATGTGGTTTCATCCGTAATCTCTTCAGTAAGTGTATTGTTTCTTGCTACATACACAGGAACTTCACACTTATCAGTAAAATGCATATATCATTGAAAAATATACAATTGTTTGCCTTAGGCCTGTTTTGCATGGAACATTTTACTATACTGTATTGAGACCTGTTTTGCATGGCACATTTTACTGTACTTGTACATGTATAAAGTTTGATGTCTGAAACAGTAAAATTTGACATTCTAAAATGGTCTGTATACCACAATTTAATCATGCATTACTATATATTATACATTGACAACATCTTTGAATATGGCTATATATTCACATCAATTCATAATTATATAATATGGAAATTGGAAAATTCTCATACTGAACATTCCCGTAAAATATACTGAACATTCCCACATACAGTATCTGCCTAACACGTACAATTAAATCGCCTGTTGTTGGATGCAAGAAATAAATTTATAAAAAGTTATGAATTGACTATTTATTGTAGGATGAAATAACTGAATCGGATGAAGATACTTGTGATGATGCTACCAATGACTTTGATGATCTTCCTCCTGCCCCATGGATAGTTGTCAACGAATCACCTTCAGTTCCTTCAGGCACGTGCCGTTATAGAAATATTTAATAGTGTTAGCAAGAGATTTATGTATGAATAAAAATCAGACTGAGTAAAATACCGAAGTAGGGTGCATTGCTACATACTGTAATTGGTTTTGTAGTTACGCGCTTTACCTTCGTATTTTACTGTGTCTAATTCCAGACAATTTTACTACTGAATGAGAGAGGGATATTGAATAATTTTTTGAATTTTTATGTGAACCATTTTTTCCTCCTGCACGGATCAATACGTGTGCAATAGGTTTTGATGCATGCCATGTATGACATGCATTCAACTTTATATATCTCTAAATGTCGTGTACCAGTGTACCGGTGGTGGTAAATCACGTAGCAGATTTGTAAAATAATACAAATACTGAGTTTTTCCGGCGAGCATTTTCGTTTGATGTGAATCACTTGTGCACATTTTCGTGCATTTTTGTCCACGGTTTCGTCAATAAAAGGCCACAATTGACCAATTCAAATCATACTTGTTGAAATATTATCACGAAATGACTGAACTTATATATGACATTGATGTACCTCAATCATTTAAAACTGTCTGTGTTAAATGTCACTCGTGTCGTGACCCTGTGAATGGGGCAATAAGCCCTGTAGGGATCACCAGTCATTTACGACAAAGCTAGTAAAATAAAAAAAAATCCAATAAAATCTTCATTAGTATTCTTTATATAATTGTTCATCCTAATTAGTATTTATTTAGTTATTTAATATATTCGCCCAAATCAGTTTATAAAATTAACAATTTAAATAAAAAAATATTTACAAATAGTAGGGCTAATTTTAATAAAAAATATTTACAATAGTAGTGCTAGGAACCTTCTAGAAACCATAAGGCTTTTGCTTATTATTTAATAAGCTAATACCAGTGCAATTGTTTTCAAAGGAATTACGGTGATATATTTACAATAAGGAAAGTGAGTACTATAACAACTATTTGGCTTTTCACTTTCTGCTAAGAATTCTACTTATTTAAATTTGACAGAAGAAAATATATTTCCATTGTGGATTTAAATATTGGAAGATATAAATTGCTTATAATGCGTCGGAAGATTATTCCACACATCGATGCCGTTATTACCAAGCGTGTGTTTTTTATAATTTGTTCTAGTTTTAATAAATATTTAAAAAAAATATTTATTAAAAATTTCTGGACGATTTTGTATATGAAAATATCGGAACATAAATAGACTTAAAAAATCATTCAATTTATACAAGTTTAGTATTTAAGGTCATTAAAATTGGTTCAGTATGGTCAAAATAGGATTTGAAGGTCATTAATCTTACTATTTTTTCTGGATATTTACTAATTTTTGAATGTGTGATTTGTAATATATAATTGTTCATCCTAATTAGTATTCTTTTTAGTCGTATTTTAAGCTATTGGAAACATTCGAACTCTCGTTTTATCATATTTAAAACGCGTGTCGTTTTTTAAATACTACTTAAATATATTCAAAATATCAAACAAAATTCTTATTAACTCATTAACGCCCAATGCGCCCGTATGCGCCCTGAGATTGACAAGTGGGTAACGGACAATGCGCCCAAATGCGCCCTGGCATGACACCTTAACTTGTGGGCATGATATTTGAGCACGTGTTTATCGGGTTGCCTAGCAACGGATACGAAAATAGAACGTGAAATTCGAGCTTTTCAACGGTGTATCATGCAAGAAAATCGGTCAGAAACTCGCAAAGTTTTTCAAGTTTAAAATCTTAGTTTTCCAAACATAATGAATAATGGCGATTCTGTTACAAAGAAAGATTTTACAGCAAGTTTTAAAAGCAAGAAAAGAAGAGGTTTCTGAATCAACTACAACGAAAATTTGGCATGAAAGGAAAGCGAATGTATTGACGTTTTGGGGCCAAGTTTTTCTGTGAACCATGCGCGAGATTTTCAGCCAAAAAGATGAGGATTTCTCCAAAACTTTATTAAAAATAGAAGTCGGAAATCACAAGAAAGATGAACACGGAACACAAGTGAGCAGATACGATTTTTTAAAGGGTATTTTTTAGTAGAAATATGTGATCAAACACTCACAAAATTCGACTGCATTAATGTTGGTTGAATCTAGTTTAAAGTTATCTTTTTAGACGAACTGTTTATGCAAATTTGGGCACAATTTCGACTGTTTTTGTAACCCCATTGTTGGTCTTCTTGTTCAAGTTGTTATTTTAGCTAAAGTATGTTTCAAACGACACCAGATTAAATTACTGTGTGCGTACGTGCCCTATTTGGCAAGAATACTTCGAGTATTAAATTACACTAAGTAAGGGGCGACATCCATACTCACATTGCCACGCAAAACGTCATTTTGACGTTTTCGTCTTGACCCACCCACCCAGTGCTGAAAACGTCAAGTGTATATTGTTATCAAAACTATAAGGGGAGACATCAAAGGTGTTACCAATAATTCTTCAAATTAATGCGAATGCCTTTATAGTTTTAAATATAAATTATATAAATATGACTATTAAAGATAGTCAAAACAATATATAGTTACATAAACACGTCAAAACTGCTGTGTAGCATTCGCAGATATTAATTGTTTATACTACAACTGTATACAGTACAAACAGTACTCTGTATCAAAATAACAAACTTTATAAATGAAGTGGTGACAGCTTGGGTATATAGGCAATTCCAGCTTTTAGTTTATGCCTGCAGGGGATGATGGGAAGTAAGGTATCACATTGCTGATTATGCTGAAAATTTTCAATAAAAACTACCGAAACAACCGAAATATTTCAATATTTACAAGTATAAGCTATCCCCCCGTGTTTACACGGTCACCATTATTATTTTTTCAGCATAATCAGCAATGTGATACCTTACTTCCCATCGTCCCCTGCATGCATAAACTTTTTAGTTTTAGTTTAGTTAATTGCCTATTTTGTCTGATCCTATCTCTTCAGTTAATTGTGTCACTCTTTCTGCATGTCTCTTGGATACTATGCGATATCTTATTACTCGCATGAATAACAAACATAGTGATCAATTTCACTAGGATCCTCTACATCCACACACATTGTATGTAGCCAACGGTCACAACTGTCACATTGGATCCAATCAATTTTGTTATTATTGTCACTGCTAATGATGCATTCCAAGGCAGCACATGCCTTTTCTTCGTCTGTGCCATTTCGTGCTTCTGCACCCCTTAACATTTCTTGCATTTCTTGCAGGGTTTTCTGACGTTTGCTGGATTCAATAGGTTGCTTTGATGCACGTTTCTTTCCAGCAGTTTCCTTTCGATTTTTCCTTGCTGTGTGACCTTCTCTGTTTTTGTGCCGGTTGAGAGAGGACAAACTTTGAAAGACTCTACCACAATCCGCCACGTCACATTTGTAGGGTGTCAAGCCAGGGGCAACTTTAGTTTGACGCCGATGGAATACTGACATGTGTCTTGCTTTGGCAGTTTTCAACTTAAAGTTGTATGCCTTACATCCAAATTGACAAGATCCAAGGTTATCTTCTACTGCAGTTGGTTGCCCTTCATGCCCATACCGTCTTGTTTTGTTGGTACACTCTTGAAGAAATGTTTTGTAGTGTCCCATGCATTCTTTTGATTGTGTAGGAGCGGGAAACTTTACATTAAGCTGACTGTTCTCGAAGTGTTGCAAAATCTCTTCTGACCTCCACTCTCCACAACAGGTACGATCTTCGCATTTCGTGAAGACAATTTCATTCAAGTGTCTGTCCAACTGTTGGTGCATGGCTTCATACTCCTTTTTGATGGTGTCATATTTATGCATATCACGAATGGGACAGGAAAGGAATTCTTTGGTTGCTTCGTAGTCATCATACAGTAGGTCATCTTCACCACACAATACAGGGTATGCAATGACTGGACTACCATCAAATTTTGCACCTTTCCAGTGATCGTTTGCAATAGACAAAATAGCTTCATCAAAGACGACCTTCTCTTTCTGGAATAACTCATTCTTGGATAAACCTCCTTGGTGTGCTGGTGGTTTAGATTCTTCTTTGAGTTTAGGGCTAAATTGAACTCCTGCCAACTTGTTGCTCAAAGGTGACCAAAGATGTTCAATGCAGTTAAAAGCGGAATATCGAGCAGCATATGTGAAGACTGATAAAATATCAAGCTTCAATGTTTTGAACAAGCGGTAAAAGTACAACGCATTTAAAACAGATACGGGAGTAAAATCAGGACCACCATCAGCCATGATCATCAACACAGACTTATTTTTTAGCTAGTCATCACCACAAATTATTCCGTGAATATCTGTAATGTGAGACGCAACAGTTCCATTATATTTGCTTGAGCAGATATAGACATGTGCTGGCCCTGAATATGGGGTATTCAAGTGAAGGCGTCCAAGGTTATCATATGTTAAAGATCCTGGATTAATTGGAAGGCTTTCAAATTTCTGAACAGATTCCTTGCAAAACACTGGTAAGGTGAAAGCCAAAGGCTCATTTTTCATGCAAATATAAATTGGTGCTTCTTCATTATTGCAGTTATCACTTACTATATCAACAGAGGTATTATCGGTGACATTTATTAAAACCATGCGTGTTTGAAATAACGACGATATTCCAAAAACGATTGCTTCAAGTAGAGCACGACTATCTGGATATTCAACTTGAATGCCTTTTTCTTCCTTTAAAACATCCAGAATTTCTTCCTTTGTCGTTTTAACATTCAGTTGAGTCCTTGCTTGAGAAATGATGATTTCATATAGGTCATTTACAGATTCGTCCATGAAAATGTTAAACTTTTCTAACACCGAATTTTCAGTTTGGGTTAATACGGTAGTACCCGGAGTATAATCATATGTAGACGCATTGGAAAAATTTTGAGCAGTTTCTGATACATCATCATTGTTTTCAACCTCTGTCTCTTGCAATACCATGTATCCAGACACAGAAAGTAAGTAGTTTGGAACAGGAAAATCGTGGTCACTGTAATTTGGTGAGTCACCCGTTGGAAAAAAACGTTGTATTTGATGATAACGAGATACAGCAGGTGCACCGACTTTTATTTTTGCCATGTCATCTGTACTGATCATGGTAACATGGTCACTGAACAGTGTTGCAAACTCTCGCCTTGCTTTGTTCCGAGCAAACAAGTAATGTGCGTCGGGGTGATGTTCACGATAGGAGTTCGATTTTGTTCCTACTCTTACGTTAATATAATTTTTATACCTTGCACTAGACACTCTTGACCTAAAGGGGGCTTTGAAAAGCCGTCGGATAGTAGATGATGATATACCATGCTCCTTCAGTCCAGGAATCTCTTTCATGAGGTGTTCGCGAATTTGTGCTATTGTTACACCAGACGAGTAACCAGTTGACGTACGCCTGCGGTGTTGTGCAGCAAAACCATGCTGTTTAATAAATTCCGTTGTTTTGTCGATGATGTCTGGAAACTTCGTGACTAGTGATGGTTGTTCTCTATACTCGCATGTCTTTTCTTTGTTTTCTCGATTGTTTGACTCTGCTCTTTTATCATCGCCTTTTCCATCTTCTTTTTCATCTTCTTTGGAATCAACCGTCTTGTCCAAATTTATGAATTATCAAACAAATCAGGAGTGAATGCAAGTTCGTGAATGACAGGCATCCTTTGAAGTACTTGTAGTTTTTCAGCTTCACTTTTCAACCCAAGCTCTTCGGACGAGACTACTAAATTTTCTGACAAATAAGTGGCGATAGTTATTTGATCCCGTGTAGACCCTTGCAGTGTTTTCTCAGTTCGAGAGTTTTCATCTTCGACAAACTTCGCAAAAACTTCATCCCAAGATAAAGTAGAACTGTTAACACAAAAGCAAGACACCAGCTCACTGGGTAATCTGGTGGTAAGCATTGTGAAAGAGTTTTTATTTTGTTCTTGCTGTTTTATCCTGCGTGTCAGTGAATTCAATAAACTTTTGTCTGAGATTAGCATGTTAAGTTTTGAACCAGATAAAATAATGTTTTTCAGTGCTTCGGCTCTTTTAAGATAGCTTTGACTCAGCAAAGTTGCACTCATCCCTGATAGACATTTGATATCGACAACTGTCTTGATGTCAGCCTTAAAATTTTGTACACCGACCTCAATGGCTTCCAGCATGAAATTTAATGCAGACTTCCTGATGTACTTTCCCATGTCTTTGTAACTTGATCTAAGGGTGAAGAAAGTGTTCCAAGAATACATCAACGACGTCAAAAACTTCATAAATGACTCATCAGCAAGTACATCTGGTGCAAGGAATTCTGACGATTGTGAGCCAATTTCGTCTAGGAATTTCTTTACCATCTTTAATTCATGAGATTTTAAATAATTCTCCCGAGATTCGATGTTCGTTGGTGCATTCTCTAATAAATCTGTACTTTCTGATTTTTTCTTCACTGGATGGTGTATGCTGGGTAAAATTGTATCTTCTTTATGTTGCGAATCAGCTTTGCATGAGAGTTTTTGAAAAAATGGTTTGGACGTATTCTTGGTTGATTCACTTTGAGCAAGATACTCGTTCACTGCATTTTCATTGTGCCTAATTTTGTCCCATTCATGAAGGGCATTTTTTATAAATTCTTGCTTTGTTTTAAAGCAATAGTGTCTCTTACTCCAGTTCTTATTGATAAATTTCTCATAAAGTGTGGAAGCATTTTTGAAATATGGCTTCGGCTTAAAGCTGATTCCGGATAAAGTTAATTGCTTGGACATGACTATAGACAAGAAAAAATAATAGTATATACTGTATAAGATAATATATACGGATGTGTATACTATACGGATGTTTTACAGTGTAGAAAAAGTGCTCAATTGTAAACCATATATACTATTAATTTTATAATTAATATACTATTAATTTTATAAAAGTATAAAAATCCGAAGGGCCACAGGTTGCACAGAAGCGTGCATGCAATGTCAATTGTGTCATCCAGTTAAAAATAACGTTTAAAAAATTATGCTTGAACTTCTATGTACTTTAATAATTGTACATTCTTATGAATGTTTATATCTGACGGCTAGCTTAAAAATGAACTTTACATAAATATATTTTCGAACAATCGAACAAAAAACAAGGCTCTTTTTATGATCATATCATACAATTCAGACAAACAAACATGCTCTACTTTTTTTTACATTTTTTACATTTGTTGTTTTAATATATACACCCTTTATGAAATACTATATCCAAAAAAGTTTTTAAGAACAAAATTTAACTTGATTTAAATATTTAGGCGAAATGCACGACTGATTTCAAATGTATTAAATTATTCAAATTACCTGTTAATACTTTTCGTGTTTTTACGAAAACAACATGTTTTAAAGAGACATAATGCCTTTGGTACAGCGGTATTTCATAGTGAAGTACACATATACTTCAAGTCAACTTCTATATATACATGCAAAATAATCTCCGTACATGTATTCAATATTTTCTGATTTTAAAAATTCAAACTGCCACACAAAACGTCAAACTGTCTTTTAAAAACCCACCCACCCACTCAAAACGTCAAAATGACGTTTTGCGTGGCAATGTGAGTATGGATGTCGCCCCTAAGTAGGGTACTCCAAAATCACTGTTATATCTATTTTCATCAATTTAGTCTTAAAATGATAACTCGTTTCAGACATATTGTGGTTTGAAATAAGTGTATTGAATTAATGCGTTTGCTTGCCGCGTGCGAATTCTCAAAAAGTCCGCACTTGAGTTCTAAAGCTTTTAAAATGCTTTTTGTATTGGGTTTTATATCCCCATAAAACTTTAAATCGATAAGGCAGATAGTAATGTTGATCCAACCTCATTTTCTAGTAACTACATGTTGAATCAGAAGGAAAAGTTATCAAAATTTGGTCGCGACAGTTGTTTGCCGTTGTTGTCGTTTCTCTCTGAAATGGCTTCCTTTGCGGGAAGCCATGAAACTGAAGTCCCAACAAAAACATAATTTAGCCGTCCTTTCGGGCCCATTGCTCGCTTATTTATCATGAAATCGTTTCACTAGAACATTTTTAATAATGTCTATGGGAAACTTTGTAATTTTCTGAACTAGAAGTTTATGGTTTTGAGGTGTTTATTTTATAAAATAGCACGCGCGACAAAATGGCACTAATGTGGTTTCTCATGTCTGACAAACAACCAAAGATGAAAGTCCTTATTTCACCGTTTTATAGCTATGTTGAATACCTGACTATTAGGTTATCTTTTTCATTTGAGCATACAGATAACGTTTCTACACAATTAGTCCTAATGAAAGCTTATTTCAAACTAAAAAAAGCGATTGTTTTTCAGAGCCAGACTTCAAAAGAGAACGCGTGTCTGACATTTTATAGCAGCCTACATTGGCGCGCAAAATGATTTTGGCTAAAAACCGTTTCTTTCCAAACAAAACATGAGAAAATTGAGCTAAAAGGCTTACCTGATGTATGTTTAAAATGTTTTTCTCTTTATGGTGTTTTTCAGTGCTTTGAGTAGAGAAGTGAATAACTTTTGGTTTTGTCACTGCAATTTGCCTTTGAAAGTGTCGGCTGTCATTGTCCGTGTTAAAAACACCTCAGAAAATTCCTATTTTCTCACCTTCCCATCCTTGGTTTATATTGAAAACAAATAGATTCTAGTACCGTATGTCCTTTTAAATATATTTGAGGTAATTAAAAACTCCAAAGATGTACAAGCACTGTGTTTTGGCTTGCACACTTTGTTGAATTTTAACACTTAGTTACTGTTCTAAATTTCATGTTGTAAACATCTTGCCCAAAAAAGCAAAGGAGTATTTTTTATAATTTTTGATCATTTTCTAATTCATATCTCAATAGATGAAAATTGGTTATAATATAGATATGTACTAATTTAGTAAATAATTTTTTTTTTGTTTTTATATAAATATATGGAGATATTGCCCCTTTAGGTGACGAGTGACATGAAAAAAATAGTGTCACTGGTTTACAAATAAAAATTCTCATTGAAAAAACTAATTATATATATAGGCATGCAAGTTCATTTAAACTAAATTTGGTCAATCATATATTAATAATATTTGGTTGAAAAGACCAGATTTTTTCATGCAACTGTTTCTGAGATATTGCCATTTTGGTGAAAGCTCTTGAATTCAGTCACGTATTCGCCATATTGCTTGCACGTTAGGGGGGTAGAAACATTGTAACAGCTTGGGCGTTAATGAGTTAAAGAAGGAGTAGACAAATGGGGTCTACCTTCTAGAGTAAGAGGAGATATGGGTGTAGAGAATTGAGATGTCGCGCGTTTTATGCTTAACCATCCTGCGAGGGGTCCAGCCCGGGGGAGCTACATAATCGGCCGTAGCGTGCACAACTCAAGAATCGAACGTCTTTGGAGGGATGTTTATCAGGCAGTAGTTTCTTTATTTTATGATCTGTTCATGATGCTGGAAGATCGAGGACAATTAAATCCCGATAATGAACTTCACCTGTTCTGTTTGCATGCAATTTACAAGCCGGTCATCAACAAAATGCTGGAACGATTTACAAATGCATGGATAAACCATAAGATTCGAACAGCATCGAACAAGAGTCCACTACAACTGTTCATAATGGGCATGCAACAAATTCAGCATGAACGTGGGACGATTGCCAACCAATATTTCGAACAACTGTCTGAGGTATAATTCTTTATCACTATCTTTAACATTGCCAGGATAAGTTTTGCTCAATTCTATTACTGAGTACTTCATGTTATTTAATATTTATTGTATATGTATGGCCGATGAAACTGCGATTAAGACGAAACAATAACCATAATGATTTTAATAATTAACCTTATCTTAAGTTGGTTGTATACAATTTTTGAAAAACTGTAATTAATTAGAAGGATTGAATTGTATTGTATTGTACGAGTTTTCAAAAAGTTGGTTTTTTTCAAAGCCATAAGTATATTTAGAAAAACATGAACAAGTAGTATTAGCTGAATGAGTCCGTATAAAAGCATTTGTGATTGCTTGTCGAAATTTAAATTCTTTAATTTTGTCATAAAAATATAGTAAACACTAAAAATATTATATTGTATTTATAATTTTCAACACTTATTTTTTGTCGTAGGGCGAAATACAAGCATTTGGGCTGGACGTGAGGCGGAATTACCAGACGATATTGTAGCCTGCGAACAGGCCCTGGGTTGCGGGCGGCGCGAAGAATAGAGGGCCTGCACGGAACTATAGGTTTTCTTGGTAGTGGCGTTCGTATAGAAACGCAGGCTTCTGATTGGCTTACACTCGTTGACAAAATTACTAAAAATAGCAAATGTCAACAACAGCATTTTGAAGAATTTGAACTTTATTCATTTTAATATTATATATTATAGGACTATCGAACAAATAAAACTAGAAGTGGAAACCAAAAGCAATAGCAAAGCATCACAGCAAAATATTCTATCATAAATATTCTATCATATCTTAAATCCAATATACAAAACTATAACAGTATTCTGAACTTCGTCTTCGGATTGACATCAGACTATAGAGTATAGTATAGTACATTCTGAGGTCGTCGTGGCTTCATGGATTATTCTCATTAGTGAGCAAGTCAGCAAGCGAAGGCATACAAAAGATACCTAAATATGTACGAATAATTATATTGTTGATCCTCGCTGGCATGTCATTTAGATAAATATATATCGTACATTAAACGTTGTACTATTTACTGTATATTAACTGCTGACAATTTCGTCGTCGATACGGCTTCCACTATTGGCACACTCGTGATTTCGAAGAAATTAATAAATACATGCTCATTTATCATTTATTTAGACCACAGTTAGTAAAATTTTAAACGTATTCGGTATTCCAAATCCCAATCTATCTGACCGTATTTTAGTAATAGCTTCAAAATATTCAGAACATTGTTCTTTCAGTCGCACATAGTACAAGTATTACTGTACATTCAAAGCCAATGGTAGTATTTTATTCGGCTTTATATTTGTATGTGTATTGATATCTATTTAATATTTGAAGAATTATATATTTTTCCGAGTAATATATTGTGCGGCCCGCTAATGCTTTGTATTATTGAACGTTCATGTTGTGATGTTGCACAATGTACACACCTTGCGTCAATTTGACAGTTTATTTATCGCAGTCGACGCTGATTGGTTAGCGTTTAGCAGATGCGAAAAGGGGATGATTGAATAAAACGCATGGTTCCATGCAGGCTCACCTTTCTCCCAGTGAGCCTGTTCGCAGGCTAACGATATTGATGAGGCTGCAGTTATCGTGCCTCAGACGCCATGCCCGCTAGAAGACGTAGCTCTGACTACTTTCGTAGAGTTCGTATCACGAGTGCCACAAGCTGATCCATGGGACACTGAATATTATCTAAGCAGTTTGACTTTACTTGATAATTTATTGTCGGGTGAATAGAAAACACACAAGCCATGCAACGAGATTCATTTGCTATACTTCAATTGCATGCTGAAGTACGACAACCACGTCAAAATGAATCTCACCATGTATATACGGGATTCTATCTGTTGTTTTTCACAAGACAAAAAAAAGAAATAATTTTATTATCACTCAAACAAAATTTCAAACACTTAAATTTTGGGCATGCATAAGTGTGTATGTAGTTGAATGTACATGTCTTAGAAAGGTGTGGTATTTCAACACAGTGTACACGCACGAGTATACTATATTAATCAGAGCGCTTATATAATATATAGTATATAATCCCCCTGATAATATACACTATACCATCCCAAAATGGGTATTGAGAAATGCCAGGTCAAAATGATAGAACATAACCTCTTTATCAGCTGGAACTCTTTCCCCAACAGCTAAGGTTAGCTTGTTTATGCAGGTATTCGCCTTTGGAAGACAAGACGGTAGAGAGTCACTGAAGACAAGCGAAGGCGGTGTTGCATATCCTAGCACTGGTTCTCTCTCGCCACATGTTACAAACATTAATATTTTACCAAGCGTCACTGGATCTCTTCGAGCAGCTGCAAATGTTAAAAAAGGCTATAAATTAGGAATTTAGGGAGTTATAATGCTTGATTCAGTTAATTCATATTCAAAATTAATCCAGAGGTCATTCATAAACGCTCTTTATGTACTGTTTAATAACACCCTTGAGCAGCTGAGGTGCTTATATACTGCTCACCAAATGAAGGACAATGGACTGATCAATTTGCACATATACAAAACATGAGACCGATCATCCACAATCTCAAGCATGCATTGCTCTCCATACATCAATCAATAAAGCTATTAACCATACTTTTTGCTGTGCATATGTATATAATTATAGATGCTGTCTATAAATGGACTTTATGTATAATAAATGAAGTAATGCTTGTATATATTGCTAAATAAATTGCTTATAATTTAATATGTATTTCATAATATTTCATTCACGTTTTTTATTTTCTCTCGTAAAAGACGGGATTGAAACACGGTTAAATTTTTTCCAGATAATTAAAGTCTTCTCTAAAATAATGAATAAGGCTACACAATGTCTTACACCAGTACTTGTCCAATTACCTATTTACCAATGAATGAGTCTCACTCTTCATGCATATGGGCATATAGTAGCTTTTAAAAACTCCCAACCTCGTACCCAGGCTCTTTCACTACGCTCGAGGAGCGTAAAAACTCATTGCACATCATTTTATGTTACACCTCTTTTTCTTGCTACAATTTAAAGATGTATGTGTTTATTGTCTTCATTTGTATTATATGTATGTAGTTTTCTTTTTAATATTATCACGCCCCTCTTGGAAATAAGCTGTTGTTAAAGGGTAAGCGTGAATAAATATAGTTTTAATAATAATAACACCTCTCAAATTTTCCTTTATTATAGAATTTTTGCAATCCCATCTTTGAGATGGAGGGATTTATTACGAGTATATGCATGCACAATAATATATATTAAGGTGGCTCGATACAGTTTTCAAAAATTCAGGTGTTTAACACTTTGACATGTTCAAATTACGCATTCTTTAGGACAACGGTTTTCAACTGGTTTTCTCATGTGTCCCCGATTTCACATGATTGAATTACCACGTCCCCTGAACAGAAATTGCCCACTAAAGTCTATCAAAAACACGAATTTCGAAATAGTTAGTAAAATAGTAAATGATTTAAATTTTAAATAATAGATAGAAAGTCAAGCAAACATGTTTATAGTACAAACTATTGTATTCAACTATTGTATTCAACTATTGTTTTCAACTATTGTTTTCTCAGTCCTAGACCAGATTGTGTCCCCTAGGAATTTGCCAAATGTCCCCTCTGGGGGACATGCCCCCCAAGTTGAAAACCGTTGCTTTAGGATTTATTCAGCAGATATTCTGTTTTTTATATATTTTGATAACTGTACTTTCAAATTATATTAGTTTTAGTAACAGATAGTTCGTTGCTATGACGACATACGTGTACGAAATTCACTCCAAAATGGCCTATCGTCTCGTATAGTTGGAAAAAAAGCACGGTGACCCCCAATTTGTTTTCGTGCATTATTTTACTTGGATGAAAAGCTAACATTTAGCAAAATATAAAAAATTCAGTAATGCCATTTTTTGGGAAAATGCAAAAATGTCATATTATTCGGTAAAACTTTTTTGGCATTACAGAATTTTTTTATTTTTTGTATAATGAAAGTTTTTAGCGGTACAATACAGCATGCAAAATTTGAACATAGGTCACCAGACAAAATAAAGAGATATAGCGCATTGTTTTTCTAAAATGGAAAATTCTAATGACGTCAGCAATTGACATAAAACGCTATAGAACACGCGCAATGGCGTGATATGGCGTGAGCAACTGCTCACGTCAGGTCATTTTGGAAGTTCTTTCATTTTGTTAATCAGTTTCCGCGACCTGCACGTAAAAATGGTCACCCGGTTTTGTTCGCAATTTTTGAGCAGGGTTTTTGTGATAACTATATCGATCCACCTTAATATCTTAAATAAATTAACGAATGAATTTACCTGCAACCTCTTTCAAGTAATTTAAAAACAGTCGGTAAGATCTCTCTTCTTGGATCTGCCTATTGGAACCTTCCGACGAGAAAGCTGGCTTGAGCAGTTTGACCAGCCTCGGATATGTTACATCCGCAACAGCTGTAGGTCTTAGCAGAAACAGCAACGACTGCCGTTTCTTGACAAGCTATAAAATATATGGATTTGATTAACATGCATGCATGTACAGCCTATATTATTTCTAAATGTGTATTTAATTGTATTGTTTTAATAGTTGCGACGTGTTTATATTCTGCAGGAGCAATGCGAATTTTAATCAGTTTCAATTTGTTCGCTGTGTGTTCAGTTCGCGGTATGTTCGGATTTTTCAGATACTTGCTGTGATCACATGGTTTGTTAATTTTACTAAATTTAGCATAATTTTCACTTCATTGCATTAATTCTTAGGCATCCAAGTATTACCGTGAATGTGCAGCATATATGCAGATATAAACAGGTATAAACCTATACTTAAATCGACGACAAAACGTTGCACAAATGTGTTGATGTTATTATTGTCGTTTTAATTGTTGTACCTCAACAAGGCCAAATCTCATCAGGCCATCCCGGACTTGTTTTTCTGCCCGACCTAGTTCTTCATAAGGCACCTGCCCAAAAAGTTTATTTGTCAGGCTATCGTGCATAAAGCATGGTAGTGGACCACCTTGAATCATGCTGTAACCTAAAATATAAACAATTCCAACTTTAAATAAGGTATAGTTTGATTATTTTGCATGGGAAAAAGATTGCTTTGCACGCATGCTCGAAAGCTCTGTTTATATTCCAATTTACAGTTCTAGTTACATATTATTCTCATAAATTAAAGTAGTTTCATAATATAAAATTAGTTTTTTATAACTCTACGATATTACAATAATCAATATGCACCTAAAAGAAACACCATATCACGATCTGTTGTATATTTTCTCGTCGAAGCTAGCGCTACCAGATTATAAGCGCTTATATATTATATTTGAAGCACAAAATTGCTAATACATTAAAGTGCCTATCTTGAATAAGACAAAATGAATAAGACAAAATAAACAAGACAAAATGAAAAGTACGTCATCGCTGATTGGCTATATATGCTAACAAATGAACCCACTTACAGATTCGATGGCACAGATACAAAAACGGGAAACATATTAATCAGTTACGCAGAAAAATTAGCGTAAGCTAAAACTTCAATTAACACATGTCACATAACATAGTATTTTTGAAAACCACTCTGCATGCTGATTATTAAACCGTCAACTATGCCTTACCAAATATAAGTCCAGCTCCTAAATAATGAGATTTATTTTCTGCTGTCTCATTCTCGTGTAAAACGAACATGTTTTCTCCGTCATTTTGCACGAACAATTTTTCCTGAATTTGACGCATCATTGCTGCCAAAAATTCTTTACGTGAACCACCCATGTCTAGTGCCAGTTCTCCTGTGAACGTCACATCGAGAGGAAGACTGTAGTCATGGTTTGTGTCACTCAACAACTCGTCCATTCCATCTTCGTACACATTTAGTCGTGACACAAATATTTCGGTTGTTTCACCTTCTAAAACGACACTTTCGTCCGTTATATCTAATGACCGGCCTCGCAGAAAATGTCCAACAAACGTACGAAGAACATTAACAGGTTCATCGTTTTCATCCCTATATATAAGATATAAAACATCAGAACAAATGTTGTACACTAATATTGGAATTGACTCGCGCAAGTATCTCAATGCTAATTAATATAAATGTACATATATATACGTACGTGCCCGCAATAGTAGTGTCAATTGTGAAGTTCAGATGATCAGCATAACTGTATCGCTCAGCACTAAAATAAATAAACCTCAAATAGAACATGTAAAGATATAAACCTCTAAATAATTAATAACTTGTATACCAAACTCGTCGCTAGCTTTCCTTGCTCGCCGGTTGTCAGTGCTTGGGTCTTGCACTTCACCATCATAATTGTAATTAGCTTCGTTGGAATGCGAATCGTCCGCTGCAGATGATTGAATGTCTTGAATTTCAATTACCACTGGCACTGGTTCGCTGAAATAAATGAATCACAATATATTGAAAATATTTTGTGTGTTTTTTGGACAATTTCCATGTCTGAAAAGGTTTACATGAATTGTTATTAAAGTGCCTATGACACGAAATTTCACCCCAAAGGTTTATGGTTGCATTGTAAAGATCACTTAAAATGACTTAATAATTTCTTTTATAGAATTTTGGTAACTTGCTTTCTTTTCAAGATACGTATTCAACTTTTTTTCATATGCAAATATCACCGTTGTGACATTACATCGCATAATGAGTTTTCAGAAAAGTATAGTTTTCTTGACGAATACGTATCTAAAAAACTTTAATAAAATTGCCCTTGTTTATGTATTAATTCCATAACTGCAAATTAACCCTCTGTATTTTAAAAATATTTTATCAAGGTAAAACATTGCGTTTTCAATATGTCATTATGCGACGTGATGTCACAGCGGTGATATTTGCATATGAAACAAAGTTGAATATCTTGCAAAGGAAGCAAGTTACCAAAATTCTATAAAAGAAAACATTAAGTTATTTTAAGTGATCTTTACAATGCAATCATAAACATTGGGAGTGAAATTTTGTGTCATAAGCACTTTAAGGAACATAATTCGTATTTTGTTCCCTTTTAGCGACTCGACTCGAGTCCAATACGAAAACTATGACTCGACTCGAGTTAACAGCCCCAAATGACTCGACTCAACAGCCCCAAATGACTCGACTCGCGGACTCGACTTTCTGATTTTGCCGTAAATGACTCAAGTCAACTCAGCTACAACTTGCACAGAAGAAATTCATCAAAGATCTTGTGATTGTATTGCTTGGGAAGAGAAATGAGTCCTGTTAACAATGAAAACTTCGAAACTCAGTTGATCAGAAAATATATGGGATTTGCATAGAATATATTCCTGACGCGGGCATGCATTTTTATTACATTTCTGTTTTTAGAAACAACGCTAGTGCCACAGTGTTTAAAATGGAAAATGTTTTGCACTTATACTAATTCTGATCGGCTATTTTCATTTTTGGTATTTATGAAGTGCTATATAATTTCAAAATTAACTTACAAAGCGTGGTTAATTAAAGTCGTCTATTCTTTGTGAATTCTGACTCCAGTTGCAAGTTATGTTAGTTGTATGTACATACACTCGATCAGCAAGAATGATAAGACATCTCATGTGGTCGTACTTAATATTGACTAGAACTGTGATATTGGTACAGCTTATAGCTGTCCAGATACTGTTATTGCATGACTAAGGTGATTAGCTTAAAATGTAAATTTGATAGTACTATAATTTCAGTCTACAAGCTGGTAGCGAACGATTACAGAACGTGTGGGGTGGACCGTTCTCGTCCACAGAGCCATTTTCACTCGGTCACTCGTTGAAAATTAGGCTCTGGGTTAGACGACTAAAGGGAGAGATTTGATTGGCTTCTCAGAGAAATGCTATTTCGCAGAAGATGAGCAGTTTTCGCTAGGAAAAATTATTCTATCAACATATGTCAATGCAAATACTTCGTTTCTTCGTAATACTTCACTTTGAAAATTGTGTTTTAAACTTTTAAACGTTGCGCGCAAGCTATTTTTAATGCTGCTAAAAAAAGATAACACCCACCCTCCCCTCTGCAAAATTTATCTTGCGAATATTTTTCGATTTAGACATTTAATTTATAAGTACCCAAACAATATAAATTTCTCAAAATTTTGATGAAATGAACGGATTTGTGAAATTGAGAGCCATTTCAAAAGTGTCTAATTTTTTATACACCCTGTATTATTAGAAAGTATTAATTCATGATTGCAAACTTAGGTTCCTATTCCTTGGACTTCAAAATAATGTTCCCTTCGAGGCTGCAGGGAGTTCCTCGATTTAGGTTATTGGCTTGTAACAAATGGATTTGTTGTTAATCTGTCATCATACAACTTTTTAAATTCATGCCCTATAGACTCGAATAATACGAAACGAGCTTGTTCTGTAGCAGAAGCCGATTCTCCATCATGCCCATCCTCGACGTCTTCCTCGTCGTCTACGTCGTCATCTTGTGAAGATTCATATCCCTATACTATGACAAGTTAATATCTGTCGTCACCATACTTACCCGTGTGGATGGTTAGGTGCAGACGTGGTCAGCTGATGATCTACGGATTTGAGTTACTTGGATTCAGGTCCGAATCACGTGAACCTGTCCATTCAGGACCTGACCACCTCACGTCTGCACCCTATCACACCGAACTAAGTGTTCGATGGAAATTAAACCGAAAGTTAATTGCTGTTATGAACAAAAAAAAAAAAAAATTTTTGCTTCTTCTCTAAGCAGATTGCTGTTGCAGTTGGCTATGAATTAGCTAATGACCTGTGAGTCTGCTTGGCACTCTCTATATCCGATATCCTGAGGGCACTTGTCGTACCCAGACTGCGCGCGGTTCCTATGATATTAACCTTGGTTACTATGTAACCTCATTTAATATCTGTCGTCACCATACTTACCCGTGTGGATGGTTAGGTGCAGACGTGGTCAGCTGATGATCTACGGATTTGAGTTACTTGGATTCAGGTCCGAATCACGTGAACCTGTCCATTCAGGACCTGACCACCAAAGTGACATTTCTCCGAAATTTCACCACTCCAAGTAACCAAAATCCCAGATCGAATCCCAACTGCATCCACCCGGGTACAAACCGTGCCTCCCTATACATTCCTCAATAAGTTGACGTTAGCACCACCGCCATGCATACCTAGTGGCTAGTTCTGCCGCTCTTCACCGATTAACACAGGGGCGAGGCCCGGTTGTTACAGCATGCCGCGCCCTTTTTACCTTGGCCACTGTCGCCATTATAATGTAGCAAATGAACCAAGTCCAGTTGCTAAGCTATGTCGCCATTGAGAGTTTTGCCAGGGACAGACCCAGTAGCTAAGCTAACTCGCCATTGAAGAATTTAAAGCAAAGGGACCATACCCAACTGCCAAGCTATGTCGCCATTGTGAAATTAGCAGACAGGGACCAATCCCGTTGCTAAGCTATATCGCCATCGAGAAGTTAGCAAAAGGACCATACCCCGTTGCTAGGCTATGTCGCCATTTAGAAATTAGCGAAAGGACGAAATCCAGTTGCCCAGCTATGTCGCCATTTAGAAATTGGCCCAGGGACCAGACCCAGTTGCGAAGCTATATCGTCAGTTTCAGATTAGCACAAAAGGTCCACCTGCAATCGCTAAGCTATGTCGCCCTGTAGTAATTAGTACCGGGACCGACCCAGTTGCTAAGCTATGCCGCCATTTAAATTTTAGCAACGGGACCACACCCAGTTGCTAAGCTATGTCGCCATTTTACAATTAGCAAAGGGACCACACCCAGTTGCTAAGCTATGTCGCCATTTAGAAACTAGCAAAGGGACCACACCCAGTTGCGAAGCTATGTCGCCATTTAAATTTTAGCAAAGGGACCAAACCCAGTTGCTAAGCTATCACGCCATTTAAATTTAGAAAAGGGAGCCAAACCCAATTGCTAAGCTATCACGCCATTTAGAATCAGAAAAGCGGCCAAACCCAATTGCTAAGCTATGTCGCCATTTAGAAATCAGCAAAGGGACCACGCCCCAATGCTAAGCTATATCGCCATTTAGAAATTAGCAAAGGGACCAAACCCAGTTGCTAAGCCATGTCGCCATTTTACAATTAGCAAAGGGACCAGACCCAGTTGCTGAGCTATGTCGCCATTTAGAAATTAGCAAAGGGACCAGATCCAATTGCTAAGCTATGTCGCCATTGGGAAATGAGCAAAGGGGCCCAAACCCAGTTGCTAAGCTCTGTCGCCATTTAAAAATTAGCACCGGGACCAAAGTACCACCCCACTTGTTAAGCTATTCGCCATTGGGAAATTAGCAAAGGGACCACACCCAGTTGCTAAGCTGTGTCGCCATTTTACAATTAGCAAAGGGACCACACCCAGTTGCTAAGCTATGTCGCCATTTAGAATTAGCAAAGGGACCAGACCCATTTGCTAAGCTATGTCGCCATGGGAAATTAGCAAAGGGACCAGATCCAGTTGCTAAGCCATGCCCCCATTTAGAAGTTAGCAAAAGGAACCAAACCAATTGCTATGCTAGTCGCCATTTAGAAGTTAGCAAAGGGACCAGACCCAGTTGCTAAGCTATGTCGCCATTTAGAAATTAGCAAAGGGACCAAACCCAGTTGCTAAGCTATGTCGCCATTTAGAAATTAGCAAGGGGACCAAACCCAGTTGCTACGCTATGTCGCCATTAAGAAATTAGCAAAAAAACAAACAAACAAACAAAACAACCAGACCCCGTTGCTAAGCTATGTCGCCATTTAGAAATTAGCAAGGGGACCAAACCCAGTTGCTACGCTATGTCGCCATTTAGAAATTAGCAAAGAGACCAGACCCAGTTGCTAAGCTATGTCGCCATTTTACAATTAGCAAAGGGACCAGACCCAGTTGCTAAGCTATGTCGCCATTTAGAAATTAGCAAGGGGACCAAACCCAGTTGCTAAGCTATGTCGCCATTTAGAAATTAGCAAGGGGACCAAACCCAGTTGCTAAGCTATGTCGCCATTTAGAAATTAGCAAGGGGACCAAACCCAGTTGCTACGCTATGTCGCCATTTAGAAATTAGCAAAGAGACCAGACCCAGATGCTACGCTATGTCGCCATTAAGAAATTAGCAAAAAAAAAAACCCAAACCCAGTTGCTAAGCTATGTCGCCATTTTAGAAATTAGCAAAGGGACCAGACCCAGATGCTAAGCTATGTCGCCATTTAGAAATCAGCAAAGGGACCAGATCCAGATGCTAAGCTATGTCGCCATTTAGAAATTAGCAAAGGGACCAGACCCAGTTGCTAAGCTATGTCGCCATTTAGAAATTAGCAAGGGGACCAAACCCAGTTGCTACGCTATGTCGCCATTTAGAAATTAGCAAAGGGACCAGACCCAGTTGCTAAGCTATGTCGCCATTTAGAAATTAGCAAAGGGACCAGACCCAGTTGCTAAGCTATGTCGCCATTTAGAAATTAGCAACTTAGGGACCACCCCAATTGCTAAGCTATGTTGCTAAGTTTACGCACACGACCGTTAAACGGCGCCACTCATACGTAAACAAGTGTAAGCTCATGCAAGCCTGGGAATGACCAAAGTACCAGACATCGCGACCAAACACACACAAAAGCAAAACAAAAAATCTATATATATTCTTACACTATTCGCTACCCAAAGTCTTAATGAGATGGTCGGGAATTCCGGCCGTGGCTGCGGATGTTGCAGCCCCAATACCAAGCTATGTCCTGAAAAGTTTCCTTCTATACCAGCGGGGGATACCGCGTTTCGTAGCCACGCTGTTAGCATCGTTCTCGTCAGTGGCAACCCGTTCTTGTGGCGGAACAAAGGTCATGCATTACCTCCCCGCAAGTGAAGATAATGCAGCAATGCTCGAACTGCGCAAACGACATTACCTGAGACTCCAAGGCGGATAGTGTGCCCTTGACGAAATGGGTCGGTTTTAGAGCATTTTATGTGCAAGAAGATTACTTTTGGATTCACGTGCTTGTCAATTCGTAGATCGGCCACAGCAAGATGTATGCGCGAGTCAAATTTACTGTTTGGTGTGGTGAACTCACCGGAACGGAGAAAACCAAAGAATCCTGTACAACATGCCGCCCAAAATAAAACATCATCGTAGCATTCAAAATTCAAAACTGCCCTAATCCGAGATAGTACTGTTAAAGTGACCGGGAGTCGCTCACGTTTCGAGTCGCCTTGGGACCGTTTAATGCCCCGAAGAACTCGTTCCAGCCTCAAACAATTTGACAATGGGTTTGGGAAGCCGTTTTCGATGTGCAATGATCGTATTGCCGCAAAATAAACTTTAATTGAAGATGCCTTAATTGTTCTGGAAAGGTGCGTAGCGAATACCATCAATGTCCACTCGGACGCAGGCAGAGGAGAACCGTTCGCGTTTACGCGCTGGCTCCAACGACAAAATTCGAGGAACTTCCGTTGTGCAGAATCATACGTTCGCCACGTTGAACTGGCGATGCCCTGAAACATTAATGCTCTTGCTGCCTGCTGGAGGGCTACAAGTTCAGACGGGCTAGCAACGAGGGGGGGATGGTTACTGGTGTTAGGCGGGCTTGTGGGGCCATCTGACGAAACACCTGCATGTTAAAACGAGACAAGGAGTCAGCAATAGTGTTTTCCTTTCCCGGGACGTGTCTTGCCGTAACTGTGAAATTAAAGCTAGCCGCGCACAAAAATAGCTCTCTTAATAACTGCATGAGGTGGCTGTCCTTAGATGTGCCAGATGTAATCACAGCTACCACGCTTTGATTGTCGCAACAAAACTGGATGCGGCGACAGCGCCATTTATTGCCTCATACGTAGCATGCTATGACTATAGGGAAGAGTTCCTTGTAGGCAATACTCAACGGCTGTTGGGCTGCGGACCACGAGCCATTAAACCACTCGCCAGAATAGAATGCCCCATACCCCTTACTTCCTGAGGCATCTGTAGAGATAAAAAGGTCAGGGACTGGGGCCCACTCCGGTAGATCAAAGAAGAACACCCCGTCCCATGTAGGCAACAAGGTTCTCCACCAGTCAATGTCCAGTTTACACTCTTTGTTGAGACGTATAAACCGGGATTGCTTGCTGGAATGGCCCTTTAACAAGTCGAGCAAACGACGCAAAAAGGTGCGTCCCAGGGGGACGACTGCACATGCGTGGCTTAATTTTCCCACTAGTGACTGGAGATCCTTTAGTCTGCAAGAGCGTTTAGTGGCCCACTCCTCCAACAATTGAATGAGCTCTGTGTGTTTGTCAGCGGGTAGTCGAGCGGTCATGCGCACTGAGTCTAACTCAATGCCAAGGAAAATCAAACACGTTGTGGGGCCCACACACTTGTCAGGAGATAAGGGTATGCCAATTTCGGTCGCGGCCTGGTCAATCGCTTTAAGACGCGAAGCACAAATATCAGAATTAGGAGGTCCTAATGTAAAATAGTCGTCTAGATAATGTAGTAACTCGCGAACGTTCCAGTTATTCACCAAACACCAGTGAAATAAATCTGCTAAACTATTGAAAATTCCTGGTGCTGAGCGCAAGCCAAATGGTAATGCTAGATCAACGTAAAAACCACTTTGCCAAAACATTCCTAATAAATGACGGTCTGACGGATGCACTGGAATTATGCGATAAGCACTTTTAATATCTACTTTACCCATTAACGCACCATGTCCGGCTTTAATAATTAGAGAAATAGCGTCGGCTACTTTGCTATAAGTAAGTGTAAATTCCTCTTTATTAATCCCGTCATTTACGCTATGCCCAAAGGGAAAGGATAAATCGAGAATTAAACGCCACCCACCGTCTTTCTTAGGAATCACCCCAAAACGGCTGACCTGTAAACTTTTTACTGGTGGCATTGAAGTAGGCCCAAAAACCCGACCTAACGATACCTCTTTTGCGAGATATTCGTCAATTATGGAGGGCTGTTTGAGCGCAGAGGGACAGTTTGCCTTGGCTGATTTCAGATGTGTCGACTCGGGGTGAAACCCGAGCCGAAACCCATGACGTAAACCACTCAAAACATAATCAACTTTTTGTCGATCCGGATGATTACATAATTGTAATGTCAAATTGTCTACATTAATGGGAGTAACTGACGACACGTCAGGAAGATTAAAATTGTTTTGTACGGCTACTACTAAAAAGCGATACAACGATACAGCGATACAGGAACCAGAACCTGGAACCGAGCATAATTTATGCAAATTAGAGCACTTTGCACCACAGGAGATATACATAATAATAATTTACAGGGGGGGCGGCGCAATTCCAGCAGAAATGCCAGCAGACAGAGAAGGAAACCACGGAACGCAAAGTAGATTGCGCTGAATTCAGCAGCAATTGTGCGCAGTGTAGTGTATGATGCAATCCGACATTAAATATAATACACTGCGAATATAAATAAATAAAATAAATATGCTGCATGCTAAAAATACTATCCGCTTGAACATCAATCACAAACATGTATAAAGTTTATATGAAGGTAACTTCAATGTCAAAAATACATTTAATATAAATGAAAAATTGATTTGTTTGATTGAAATTCAGCGTCGAAAACACATAGATGTACAATGTAACTTCAATGAATACCCCCATGGCCATGCCGAAGTTTAGTCGCTTTAACAGCTTCAATCATCAATGACAATATCAGATTTTGCTTTTGTAATGTCGGAAACGATACTTGATAGTACTATATTTAAACCCTGATAATACAAAAATGTGACAAACGATTGTATAATGTATATCCAGTTAGTTGTGAGTAGCCTGTTACAAAAACAAGTTTATTAAACTCTACAGTGGTGTACACATTGTACGTACTGTTGAAGGCATAACAACAATACTATAGATTTATATTTTGTTATACTTATAGTTGCCTTTGGACGGATTATATAATATAATGTTAGACCTTGCAGGAAAGGGGGAAACCTGACTCAACTCAGGGTTATATTAGGGTATTAAAGAGACACGACTAAGTGAATTTCAACACTGAATTTCAATCAGACATTTCAATTTTTCTTTATTAAATGTATTTTTGACGTTGAAGTTACCTTCATAACTTTAGTTCATTCATGTTTGTGATTGATGTTCAAGCGTACATTTTTAGTATGCAGCATATTCGCAATATTCGCGTATTCGGATTTCGGCAGCGTATATATAGCACATTCAAATGCTGGATTACTGGATAGCGCACAATTACTGCTAGTGAATACAGCGCAATCCGCTTTGCGTGTTGTGGTTTCCTCCTCTGTCTGCTGGCATTTCATAGTCAAGTGCGGTGGATAAATAAACCATTGAATAAACTAAGTGCCTCACATGCAGTCATATCAAAACAGACAAAAAGAATCCCCGCGCAATTACGAAACATGTTTTACTTCGTAATATGTAGTGCTACAACGATGTTCATTCTTTGTTTTATTAACTGTGGTTAGTTAAAAATCGAAATTCCTTGCATATAATATTTTATACATTGAATTGCGCCCCCCCCCCCTGTAAATTATTATTATGTATATCTCCTGTGGTGCAAAATGCTCTATTTTGCATAAATTATGCTCGGTTCCAGGTTCCGGTTCCAGGTTCCGGTTTCTGTATCGCTGTATCGTTGAATCGCTGTATCGCTTTTTAGTAGTAGCCGTTTTGTACAACTAAACAGGAAAAAATATTGTTATTAACTACACCGTCTCTCCTAATCGCGTTTCGCCTGTCGCCTACGGCTTGATTCGTCTCCAGGACTATGGCGTCATATCACCGCCAATATTCATGTATATCATGCTTTCGACATTGAAGTAAAATAGGACATTCAGCACCTACGTGCTTTCGACATTGAAGATAAATCTGGCATTGAACATGCGGAACATTCAACATATTTTCGACATTGAAGTTAAATAGGACATTCAACACCTACGTGCTTTCGACATTGAAGTTAAATCTGACATTGAACACCCATGTGTTTTTGACATTGAAGTTAAACCGGACATCGAACATGCCGCGAATTTAGCACCCATCACAACTTCAACGTTCAAAATATGTTGAAAAAAATTACCACATGTTGAATATTGGCGGAGTTGAACGATAGCGTCAAATCTCCGCCAATATTAATTAAGCTAACACAAGACAACCCCCCGGCCAAATTCATTCGTGTCCAGACCTCTAGAACATATCACATGACGCAAGCCGAGGGTCGGATTCGCCGCATCTTGTCGCTGTATTGGAGGCCGTATATTCACCATAATATTCGCGTATATTCGCTTGTTTGTCTTAAATTAATTGACTTTTATTGTGCAGATTGAATTGCTAGAGACGCAAAAAACGCAAAATCTCGTAGAATGAACCCAGAGGCAATAATTTCCGCAAGAGATGCTCTGTTTGAAGTTGCTGAGCGATTGAGACAACAGTCACAGCTGTATTTTATTTATTAGATTATATTTTAAAAATTCCTAATAATCGAATTATAAATAATCGATACATTTTAATATTTAGAGTGTACTTGGCAAAAGCAATGCGTGCGTCATTGCGTCAACGTGAACTTTTGCTGCGACAGAAAGGCAGATAGATTGTTTTCTTTTATATATTAAATCGTTGTGGTGTAATTTGATAGTACTTGTTAATTTAGCATAATTTTGAGCACTTTTCTTTCCGGATCCGTGAGCCTTTTATAATTTTATTTGTCATTTACTTAGTACAACGGTTTACAAAAAATCCTACTGTTTACAAACTTTTGTGTTACATACTGAATAGGTGTCTCCTTATTAATTCAATAACTGTTACACAATAAAGATTTTTGCTGTCAATTGCACTTGCTAGAATTAGCATTTTAATAATAGTACATCCTTTTAATTTTTAAACCAAGAGAATAGTTTCGTGAGAGAATTTATTTATCTTATACCATAAACTTCCGAGTATAAGTCCCCGAATATAAGCCCGACGTCTATGACCCCGTCACATTACTAACGTTCACGCCATTCGATATACTAGCCCATAATCATAATCAGAAGTTTATGGTATAATTATAAGATAAATAAATTTTCTCACGAAACTATTATGTGCTATTATTAAAATGCTAACTCAGCTAGTCACAGTGACAGCAAAAATCTTTATTGTGTAACAGTTATTGAATTAGTAAGAAGACACCTATTAAGTGTGTAACACAAAAGTTTTGTAAACAGGTAGGATTTTTTTGAATTGTTGTATAAGTAAATGACAAATAAAATTATTAAAGGCTGACGGATCTGGAAAGAACAGTGCGCAAAATTATGCTAAATTGACAAGTACTATCAAATTACACTACATGGCCTCACGATTTAATATATAAAGAAAACCATCTGCCTTTCTGCGGCAGCAAACGTTCAGTTTGACGCACGCATTGTTTTTGCAATTACACTCTAAATATTAAAATGTATCGATTATTTATAATGCGATTATTAGGAATTTTTAAAATATAATTTTTGCGTCTCTACCAATTCAGTCTGCGCTATAATCAATTAATTTAAGATAAACAAGCGAATATACGCGAATATTATGGTGAATATACCGGTATACGGCCTCCAATACAGCGACAAGTTGCGGCGAATCCGACCCTCGGCTTGCGTCATGTGATATGTTCTAGAGGTCTGGACACGAATGAATTTGGCCGGGGGGTTATCTTGTGTTAGCTTAATTAATATTGGCGGAGATTTGACGCTATCGTTCAACTCCGCCAATATTCAACATGTGGTAATTTTTTTTCAACATATTTTGAACGTTGAAGTTGTGATGGGTGCTAAATTCGCGGCATGTTCGATGTCCGGATTTAACTTCAATGTCGAAAGCACGGTGTTCAATGTCAGATTTATCTTCAATGTCGAAAGCACGTAGGTGCTGAATGTCCTATTTAACTTCAATGTCGAAAATATGTTGAATCTTCTGCATGTTCAATGCCAGATTTATCTTCAATGTCGAAAGCACGTAGGTGCTGAATGTCCTATTTAACTTCAATGTCGAAAGCATGATATACATGAATATTGGCGGTGATATGACGCCATACAGGACTACGCCCTCGTTTACGCGCGAATTCTGAGCAGTGGATTCTGCGGTGCGCTCCGCCGCACCCGTTTCGATCGCATTTATGGCGAAATCTACAGAAATCCCTTGGACTGCTACATGCGCCTGAATTCCATGATTTGCAGTCAATCATCGAATTTTGATCACCACGAGGTTCGCGATTTCGTGAAGCTTGTGGTTGTGTGGCTTTGACCGCTACCGAGGTATGGTAATGGTACAAATCGGCATGGATTTGGCTCCAATTCTTTGAATTGGACGCGGCAGCTTCGAGACGATAGGCGCGATCATAGTTAAACCAACACCGTCCGGGGAATTGCTTCGCGATGCGTATTATTAGGGCCATATACGCGAGTAAATCCCGTGCTCTTTCAGGCCGAGACGCCGTGATTACAGCTATGTAGCTATTGAAGCACTCGACCCACGTAAGAATATCGCTTATCTCATTCTTCTTGCGCGACGAAGTTGTCGTCGTGGGCACAATCGAGCGACCTTCGATGATAAAGGAGGTACCCTCGGTGGTCGGGGCCTCTAAATTTTCTGGAATGAGATCTGACATCTCGACAAACTTGCACGCCAATATCTGCGCAACGAGCCTTGCAGGTACAGGGGGGCGACCGGGTCCCAGGATAAAGGCTTGATTGAGGCCATTGTTAATGCCTGGAGACACAATAGGTAAGGCAGGGAGGGATTCGGAAACTGATGGACCGTTGGCTATACTAAATTGTGCACTTGCACTCGATTGTGTCAACGACGTCGACCCAGAAATCCCAACAAAAGAAGGAGCAGTTAACATATACCTTCGCCTGGTGTTTGCGTGCCTGGCGCGCTTACCATCGCTGTGGGACAAACTTCACCCAATTGCTCCAACGCCGCGACTTGTGTCTCACTGGAGGCACGTGTACCAAGCGTTTTCGCGACGGCCTCGGCCACGGCAGTTTGAAGACCATTGGAAAACTCGGGCGACTTGAAGGCTGCTGCCCAATCCACCGACGTAGAGGATGAACCGGTCTCTTGGTGACTTGAAATTTCTCCCGTCGATTCCATGTTGTTCAACACACACGTACAAAACAAGAACAAAAATTTTTGGCTCCTTCTCTAAGCAGATTACTGTTGCAGTTGGCTATGAATTAGCTAATGACCTGTGAGTCTGCTTGGCACTCTCTATATCCGATATCCTGAGGGCACTTGTCGTACCCAGACTGCGCGCGGTTCCTATGATATTAACCTTGGTTACTATGTAACCTCATCAAAAATGTATACAAGACAATCTCACATGTGGAATTTTTTCACTTACGGTACTGCCTTGTGATGCAGTACAAGTACAAGTATAAATACAAATGACAAAGCATTTGTAAATTCTAAAACATAATTAAAAAATCATACGGCACATTTAAGATTTTATCGTATTTCAGCCGCGTTTATACTGTTTGGCGCATTCGCTGCGTTATATTCATTTATATACACAGAAAAGCATGTCATTGTCCATGCAGACCATAGGCAAAAAGCATTTCTCAACCACATACCAAATTTAAGCAATCGTTAAATCATATACATGTCATGGAAAGAATATGGAAATAATGTTGAATGAAAGCTAGCATCGCATATAATATTAAAGGCACCGCATATTATTAGTGCTCGAACCACTGCGTGGAACCACTGCGTGGAACCACTGCGTGGAACCACCGCGTATAATGGCGAAAGCACCTTGTATAATGCCGAAAGCACCGCCGTATTAATGCTAAAAGCACCCAACAAAATGCCGTCTGCAGTCCGCAGATTATACTGACCCGGTCTGCAGTCCGCAGATTATACTGACCGGCTATCATACCCTTGGATTCCAGAGCCTTCGACAATAAATAATAAATTGAAACATCGCGAAGGCTCTGGTTCAGCGGGAAGATTCTTTGATTAAACTGCGCCAATCACAAAACAGAATTAGTGGTTTTAGTAATTAGTACAGATTCTGTACTAACAGCACTAATTCTGTTCTGTGATTGACACGGTTTATAAATCAAAGAATCTTCCTGTTGAACCAGAGCTTTCGCAATGTTTCAATTCATTATTTACTGTCAAAGGCTTTGGAATCCAGGGTAGTGCTATCGTAACAAAAGAGGAACATTTGTTTGCTTTTTGAAATGAAATAGAACATATAATTATATCATTTTAATGACTTGCTTCCGATTTTCAGAGAGGTCTTGGAAACATTAATTGTTGATACTTTTGAAATATTCAGCAACTTGCCGATGAAATTTTTATAAAATATTGCCATAAAATATATAACATTCTAAGACTAAGGCTATATATATATATTGATACTATTGATACTATAGTGCTGTTCCAACGTACAATAATGTGAAAAAAAGAAAAGAAAAAAAGAGATGAAAAAGTTTTTTCATCAAGTGAGAAAAATTTCCGGAGAAACTTTCCAAAATTGTTGTCGCTCCAATATTGTTTAGGTCCATTTTTTTAAGTATTTTATAAAGCGTATGCTATGTACGTGCTAAGAAGCTAGTTTTGTTGGCATGTGGAAAGCAAAAGTAGCGAAGGTAAAGAGATTAAAATTGGATTTAGTGCGTATTTTTGAAAAAATTTTACCACAAAATATGGTAGTCCCCCCCCCCCGTCGATGACACTTGTGACGTCAGGTACATACGGGACTTTGGGGGCGGGTTTTGGCGGGAAAGTCTGTAATGTTTGGACACAGAATAGGAAGTTATACCAGAAGCGTAACTCTAGTCGTTTCCCTTATTGTTTGACGTCCACGAAAATTTTTAACTCGCTCACGTCAGGCCACGCCATCCTGGCTAGTACAGCCGGAAGTTTTTATCAGGATTTGGTAGGTACAAAGTGCCGGTTGTACTAGCCAGGATGGCGTGATTGATGACGAATCGTTTGTAAAAACGCGGACAAATATTTGCTCGAGTTACGCTTCTGGTATAACTTCCTATTCTGTGGTTTGGAGAAGACAAGATGGCGCTGGTTACATCGTGTTATATCAAACGGCATTTTTGTTCACAAATACCCGCTTATTTTACGTTATAGCGACTGGTTCGTTTTGGAAATTGTAACTCAATGGACGGGGAAAATGATTCTGTATTAAAGAGAAAATGATGTGCAGTTATTGTGATGTTATTTGTTGTGAAAGACGGCCCGAAATTTCGCTACTTCGCAGTACTGGTTTACAAAACATTTACAAGCAACAGCAATTGAACTATATGACAAAGAAACCAATGTATACAAGCCAATCAAGTTCTTCAGTTTAAAGGTCTGTTTACTTTTTAATAATTAGTTCACTTAGTTGTACATTAATACGAAGTACTGGAACAGTACGCCTAGTCACAGAATAGGAAGGTATACCCACAATCTCGTTCCCCGAGCCTGCGATCCTTGGGAAGGAACGCGAGGCTCTGGGATAATCCGTTTCAGGGAGGAATCCGATTGGCCGTTGAAATGGAATGCGTAGTTCAATCTTAGCCAGGATTCCTGGCTCCCGGCAACGGATTATCCCAGAGCCTTTGGTTCCTTCCCAAGGATCGCAGACTCAGGGAACGAGATTGGGTATACCCATTGAACTAAAAATAACTGGAACGATACCTCCAGCCGGAAATGTGAAGCCATGCCCAGGCATGCCCACTGTTGTCATGCCCAGTCTTTTCACGTAACGGAAATGAACGCGGGTTTTTTAAATTTCCAAAACTGGGTAAAAAAATGCACTAAAACATGATTTAAAACGACGTAAAATGTAAGGTAAAATGCACCTACCAGTACATTTTCTACAATAAAAACATCCTTCAAAACTCTAGAGTAAAATATTTTTAATTTATTTGTGTAGAATTCATAATTAAATTTCCTTTTTTGAAAAAAAAACGTTGAGCGAGGAGTGGAGCTTGCTGTGGTCTAATCATAAGTATTTGTGTGAATTTCCCTATTTTGCTCATTCGTTTTCCAATTTATTCGTCTGAAAGTTAGGAAAAAACTACCAACCACAGTTTAATTATGTTTTGTAGTAGAGTGTTTTAAAGGTACAAAATAACAAGTATAAACATTAAAGACATTAAGAAAGTTTTTTTGCGGACAAGTATTTCATGTCGCGATTATTCACATTCGGCAAGAAATACACAGAACAAGTCGTCAACGAAGGCAAACAAAGTGATAGATACAGATTTTTATCTTTCTCAAGTTTCATCTGCATATAAACGTTCTTGCAATTTTAGTCGGTAGGGTTCAAGATATGTTTTAAATACACTTTTAATACAAAAATATAGCTTAAAACCCTAAATAAACGACAATTTTCAATTCATTTGTTTGAGAAAAAACATTCAGTCACTTCGCCGTAATGGTCTCGCGAGAATGTCTCGCAACACAAACGCGCGTGTCTGGAGGTAGAACACGCACGGCTGGAGGTAAAATTTGGCTTCATCCGATCATAAGCCAATCCTATTGGAGGTAGCGTTCCAGGTATTTTTAGTTCACTGGGTATACCAGAAGCGTAACTCAAGCAAGTATTTGTCTGCATTTTTACAAGCGATTCGTCATCAATCACGCCATCCTGGCTAGTACAACCGGCACTTTGTACCTACCAAAACCAGTGAACTCTCTCTATATATATATATCTGGAAAGATAACAGCGAGCGAAAAGTGAAGCCGACAAAAAAAATCACGACATAAGTATTCGTCATTGTCTTCGTCATCAACTGTTCAAGAACAATCACTTACATATAAAATTTGTAATTGTTTTGAAAGTTTTCATCACAGTTTTTACATCTTTATTCACTTTTAACCTGAAGATGGAGTTATACTCCGAAACGTAGTTATTAAAATAATTTTTTACTAAGCCCATATGGTCTAATTTATATTCAAACACACATACATATTCATTTACATTTTGCTGGCAGGCAAATTCCGATCACACAATAAATTCTTTAAAAAATAACTATAAAACTGGTAAACTAAAAAACAATTCAAACAATCGCGAAAAATGGCAAAGTCACAGTTGCAAGTCAATTTACCTACCTGTGAAATGAAATTTTCCTCGCAAGAATATCTCTTTCCTTGTGCATCCAGAACGACACAATATATTTGAAAAAGGCTATTCTTTTCTCCACACGGGGAAGTTTTCCTCGACTTTTTTCTGACAGCGAACTCAATGCAGTAAATTTTAGGAGCAAAACAGTTTGCTCCTAAAATGTATTGCATTGAATTGGCCATGTTTTTAATTTTTTTTTTGTGATTGCGTTCAAATTTATACTGGCCGTGCAACCATAGACGGATTTTCATATTTATTACTGGGGTGGTGCCAGAAATTTTAGGGGGGTGATCCGTGTCACCAAACCCCAGTAAGGTCTGGGTCAAAAAGTGTCACCAAACCCCAGTAAGGTCTATATTCTAGGGGTGGAGCACTAGAGCCGCGAGGGGGAGTCTAGAGAGAAGAAAACAAAGTATCCCAGGAAAAATTAGAAAAAATCATTATTTCTAGCTTCGAAAAAAAGTTTTTTGAAGTGTCAATTTGTCATATAAATGGATTTGGCATGTCCTATTGTCTGTTAAGACTTGAGAGAGTTAAAGACTTAAAGTTAAATGAACCTATAAAAGTGTAAACCCAATAGGCCAATACACAATATGCTTTTACTTTTATAAAGTCCTTGACATTGTGTTGTTTGAATGCGAGTACAATTTATGATGCAACTCCGACGTAAATAATATTTGGGGCGTAAAAATTAAATCTAGGCAAGCCTATTTCCTAAAAGAATTAAAAAATAAAAATACGTGCAATGCACTGCAAACTCTATTCAGGGGAGATAATAGAGTTTCAAAACTTTACAATTGCTCCAATAAACCATACCCCCCATGCTGTCCGAAGGGTGAGTGAGGAAAAATGTCTTAGGATGTCCGAAGGGGGGGGGAGGGGGGGGAGGAAATGCGGATATAAGATTGTCCGAAGGTTTTAGACAGTGATAAAGCTATGTGATCGGCGATTATAATGAGCACGCAATTTTTATCGGCTATAGCCCTTAAAAACTGGAACGTTTATGTAACAGCAATAATTATACGTCCACGTAACTCGTAAGCAAAATAGCGGCCCACTTTTGCATGCATGGCCACCAAAAACTAACTCGCTGTAACAGTGTATCCTGCATGTTGAGAATGAGTCGAAAATTTACACACTTTATTTATATAAAAGTAAAGTTTTGCAGTTTTTGTATGTATAAGTTTGAATTATTCAAGTGTTAAAAATAATAGTTATTAAACTGTTGCTTGAATTAAGAGACTGCTATGTGAACTAAACTCAATATTTAGAATATTTAGTTTCAGTATATAGTCAATAAAGCTTCCTTGCGAGGTGTGTGCCTAGAAAATAGAAATGGCTGTCATATTAAGGGCGAGGTTAAGGAATGCAGTAATACTAAAAAATGCACTAACATGTAAGTAAACACAGCAACGCTTCTCAATCAGTCGCAAGTTACATTGAATTTCAGTCCGAATCTTACTTGATCGAATTTCAAAGTGAATTTCTGCAAATTATCCACCAAAATCTGCCATGTGTTTGTGTTCACAAGAAGCCGCCAAGTGTTCCACGCCGGAGCTATTTGACAACAATGTAGAAAAGTCACAATAAGCCATCGCTTTCACACTACGCTGGAGCGAAATAGTTTGAAAACTTTCACAACGCCTTTGCCAAAAACTGTTTTATATTACTACTTTACACAATGTAATAATTGGATGCTATACTTCAGTTCTTGTATGATAGTGCTTATAAATAATTATTAATATCGAACTAATAATCATTAGTTCGATATTAATAATTATTTATAAGCACTATATCATACAAGAAATGTCAAGAATGAATTTTCCTTCAATGGTGGTTTTTTATCCGTCAAAAGTTTAATATAGTTTTGACGAGAGAAATGTTTCTCAACAATTTTCAGAAAGTTTTACAAGATTTTGGGGCTTGTTTTGAATTGGGCTATTCCATTTAAAAGACGTAACCCCCCCCTATCAAGGACAATGGTTTTACCATATCTCTGAAGAATTCTTGACATAAAAGAGATCCCCTGAAGAATTCCTGTTACCCCTGAAGAATTACAATTTTTACATCTGACCCCTAAAGGAATTGCATTTGAAATAACCAACCCCTGAAGAATTCCACAGGAGAATTTGTTTACCCATGAGGAATTCCGGAGTTAAAAAGGGAGATTATGGATATTAAATGGAATAGCCAATTTTCTGGAAAATTTAGCCAAAAATAGTTTTGTTTGTGGAAACACCACATAAATTTATTACTGCAAAGCTTTCGATCCGTAAGCCCGGATCTTCATCAGTGCTAATATGTGACTTGTTTAATTCACACGCCCTTTTTATATACAAAAAATGTCTTGATCTGTTGGCTCACATATTATTAGCACTGATGAAGATTCGGGCTTACAGATCGAAAGCTTGGCAGTAATAAATTTACGTGGTGTTTCCACAAACAAAACTATTATATGTTTTATCGCCATGCAAACATACAAAGAACTTATTGTGGGACAACTTTTTTACTGAAGTTATACATCTGTCTTCACTTAATCTGTGGCTCAGCTGGCTAGACCTTGATTCTTGCCTGTGGTATTTGACTCAAATGTTTTGGTCATTTTATATTTGCCAATATAAATCTTTTTGGCATAGAAATTATACATTTGGAATAATAATTTTGTATGCTGCATTCAATCTATTCTCCATTCAGGGAGATTCTTTTACCCACACCAATCAGAAGTCTGTATTTTTATGCTAAGACAGAAATTGGCATCCCAGAGAGTAAATTATATTCAAGTTTAGGGCATGTTGCAGCTCTATATCTTGCCGTTGCAAGTTGCTTTGCGTTTGATGTTTGTTCTGGGATAAAATATTGAATTATACCTTAAATTAATGTTTTGTGAAATTTAGTTTAAATAATTTAGTAGAGAGATGAGTGCATAAAGCATAGGGATTTTGAAGCTAAATATGTTATAAAATTTGTCGTTTTAGTGAATGCATTCTTTTCTGCTCGTCCTGGTTGTTGCAAGGAGACATCAGGCATTGTAATGGATGGATGACGATGTGTCGCTGGCAAACCTACACCGTGTGCATTTTCTTGGTGGATATCTTGGGCAAATGTGCAATATGACGAGGGATATCTTGGGCAAATATCTTATATAAATTGGTACGATTGGTTACCTTAAATTACTAAAGAAGGATGATGTTGTAAGGTTAGTGGATATTTATAATAGTGATAAAATGGGGTTTCCCTATGAATAGGAACAAAGTAAGGCTGCCTAATTAAGTGGAAACAATATTGCGCAGTGTAACAATCTAAAAATATGGCGGACTGAAATCTGTAAAAATGATGCATGTTTAATTTAAAACATGCAAAAATTGCGGCATAAATATATCACGAAACATGCTTCTTGCAACTACATGCTATGTTTATAGGAATTTGAATAAGTTTTTAGTAGGCATGATTTAGGATTTTTGTTTTATTTTCATTTATGATTTTCTATAAATGCCCCAACTAGTTTATATCTAATACGTAATGTATAATATATAGATTGTAAATTTTTTGATCTAGGAAATAATAGAGTTCTTATACAACTACATGCTGTGTTGGGTTGTTAGGGTTGAATAAGTTTTTAGTAGGCATGATTTAGGATTGTTTTTATTTATGATTTTCTATAGACTGCCCCCCCCCCCCTCGTGGTGGAAGGATAACAGCCTGTGGCCATTTGTCACTAACGCTGCACAGTGACGTAGTCGTATAAATAGATATTTAACAGTCTGTGGCCATTTGTCACTAATGCTGCACAGTGATGTAGTCGTATAAATAGATATAATATTGTGCACTTCAGTGGCTTTCTAATTTTATTATCCAATCAGGTGTGTTACTTTAAATAGAACTTATTGTATGTAAACAAGGTCAATAGACAACGTTTGGGACAACATTGCTTTCTTTAACATATAGCATAATTTGTCTTCGTCATTCTGTGCACAATGAAGTATTGGGTCATTCCAGAAAACATACATA